GAGAGAGAGAGAGAGAGGCTGGTGTATGGGCTCCAAGGCCGATAAAAAAAAAAAGAATAGAACAAGAAAACAAGGCGCTCAAATTCTCATCAAACATCTGGAGTAGCTTATCATTGAAAATTTTGAAAAAGGGTTTCAGATGGTTCAATTTTCCTTCCATTTAGTGGTTAATTGATCATAGTTTTCAATGGTTACAAACAAGGGTTTGAGATAACAAACAGCCTCCGAGTTTTGCAAAAAAGGCTATAAGCCTAAAATAAGTAGAAAGATCACAATGTGGTTGAGGTAGTCTCTCACCCAAGCACCCTTCGAATGTAGTTCAATGTTCAAACTAAAAGAATAGCACAATCCAGTTGCAGAATATCCAGAAATACAATGTCTTGGGAGAGAGGAACCAAAAAGATGCTTGAATGCAACGCTTAAACCAGGCTTTGATAAACAACCCACCCATACATGTAATAGCTAGAGCATAGTAGCATACCCATCGTTTGCAATCAATCAACAGCCCCACTCGGGGCGTATAGATAACAGAATTAATGACACAAGGCGATTGCACAAGAAATCTATAGGCTGAACTATAGCGAAGAGTTATGGTTTAATTAGGATAACTGTAGCAGTAGAACTTAAAAGTTTAACAGCGGACATCACCCTTGACAATGGGCCATTATATTTCAATGTTCTGTTTGGGCAAGCAAAAGACGAGCTCTCAATTTCTAACATACTACTACTACTGATCGATAGAACTCTTGTTTCATCAATTTATCGATCATAATCAGCATTCTCAGACTAGAACCCATGGTCTCATCCTTTGCAGCAAGAAATTTTGGCTCTAAAACAAGCAAATTAAGGCCAATATACATATATATGGTCACCAAAAACACATTAAGACCTGTTTACAGAACAGCAAGTTGAAGGGATTGTGGATCCAAGCAACATGAAGCATTTAAATCTTCTTGGTACTATGTAGCTACAAGCATCATCATAACATGGCAAGGGTAAAAGTATCAAATCACATAAAATCTAAAATCCAAGTATACAAGGAGTTTCAAACATCAGTAACAAACATACTGCAAGAGGTGCAACTGCAACCCATGTCATCCACCACATGGCCAAGCATAAACAAAACAGGCATGGTACATGAAAATGAAAAGGAAAATTTGTACAGCAAGAAAAAATACAAACAAGTCCATAACCATCAGATTTTGTGAGTTTAGTTGCCTGACACAAATCCCTGGTTTTCAGTAATTTAACTCTATAGCATCTCAGGACACATGAAATGAAGACAACAGAAAAATTATAGACAGGGAATGTGGGGCACGATACATCAGACATCACCAATCTGAATTCCGAACTTCGAGCACAGAACGGCACCAAAGGACAAAAGAACAGCATATGGCAAGGTAGAACACTGCATATTGAAGCCTGTAATAGCGGCAAAATAACCCCCTAATATACGTGCACATCACAGCATTTTTTTAAAAGCAATTTAAAATTTTCCTCGGGAAACAACCCTAAACAACCAATACCAAAGTCAATCAATCAACTATAATACTTAATTATAATTATAATCATCATCGTCATCAAGGATACCTCACCCAAAATCAAGCATAAATAAGAATTCATCAGCAAGTACAAAATGAAATTATACGTAGAATAAAACCAAGATGTTCAACAATGGAGAAATGTTGGGTTGGGTGAGGGTTAAAAATTAGAAATTAAATGAGCAAACACAGATGAAACTTCATATAGCACCACCGGTAAGAAATTCAGAAAGTATATTCAAGGGGGGGGTTTTGTCCATATAAAACAAACCTCAAAGAAAAGGAATATACTTTTTATGGGTAAGGAAAAGGAATATACTAGCCATGGTGAAATTGTTGTTTCTCCCTACAGAATGATGACTGATGACAACAATGAAAATGTGACGAGAAAAGCATTGAAATGTATCCCAAATCTTTTTAAGTGGAAGGTTGCTTTACTGAGAAAAATAAATATGAAAGCAGAAACAACACAAGATCAAAAAATAGAACTACTGAACAAATTAAAAATAAATAAATAAATAGAACATGTGTGATGTGCTGTAAAGAAATCCAGCTCAAAAAATATTATATATAACTACTGAATGAGTTGCTGGCCATTTCATAAACATTTTCTTTTGTTTATTATTTCTTTATTTGTCCTTCATACTCTGCAACTAGCAATATTATATATTGTCTGTAATGATAACAAAGAAGAATAATACTCAAGCTATTTTATCCTTTTAATGTACTTCAATGTCATAACATCCAACTGACAATTTATTATAATTTCCTGCATTGACACTTTTGCCGTCAGTTTAGTACATCCTCACAAATGTCCAAGTGTCCCTAACCATCTTTTACTTCCCATGGAGCCCCAGCTATATCAAATTAGTATTAAATCGAGAAAACCTATGCAAAGTAAATAAATGGAGCTTTCATAGAGGAAACTAGGATAAGAAGAAAATCAGCAGCATTTTTTTACTCATAGCTACTTCATGAACCATAGCTTTATGCATTCTTGAAACTTGCATAGAAAATAAAAAACAGAAAGAATATCATTTTCTTATCAGAAAAGCATAAAGAGTAAAATGACATTAACTGCAAATAATTGAAATGAACAAGGATGATAAGCAGCCCCATATCATTAATCCATGGTAAAGTAAAACCTTAGCAGTTTAATATCTAAAAATAAATAAATAAATTGAAGAGAATAGATGCTTAAGTTTGAATTGCAAGTTAAAATGTTATCAAACCACTAGCTCAAAAGAATAGGAAAACTCAGATAGATGCAATTGAATGGTTAGAAGATTTACATTTAGTGCTCCAAAAGACAGGGTACCAAAACAGAATAAAGAGGTCACACTCTGGAACTATATTTTGATTTCAATTTCCTGTGATACATTCTTGAACTCTATATAGGACCTAGTCGCTAGCATGAGAAAGACTTCTAAAGAAACTTCTCCACCCCCGTATTCACTTGGTTGTACATTTAAGAGATTGTGGGAGCAAGATATTTTTAAAAGCAAAATTCTTCATTCTTCATTCTTCACCGGTGAGGTTATAACTAAGTGACTTAGAAATCACCATCAAGGTCAACAACCACAAATCAGCCCAAATGGAAAATAAATTTATGGCACAATTGGTAAAGTGTCATCCAGAAGAGAAAACATAAGCATGAACAGACACATGGCTTATATACCACTTCTCTGATATTCAAGATGAACATGGAATGTTAACCATCATATGTTGCCCCCTCCCCTCGATCTCAACTTCTCCACAACAATATATTTAACTTGGGGTCATATGATAACAACTTAGCTTAGCTGAATAGCTCATTACTGTCTTTTAGTAAATTAGTTTTGCTTTTTTCCTAAGGGGGATTTAAACTCTTTAATGGCTAAAACTGAAATTTGACTTCATATTATTTGATTATTTTACCCACTAAAAAACGAACAACGAGTCGTTCAGTTCATCCATTTCAGCCAGTACCAAATGGATGCTCAAAAACCAATTCATGTCATGGGACACCAAAGAATGATTATCAATTTAGGTCAATAAACTGGCACCATAAAAGATTACTTACAGATTTTACATACCTGACAAGTCTTTTATGTTTACAAGTTCCCAACCTCACCTCGCATATCAAAAAACAACTATAATAAGCCTAAAACTTTCCAAATCATTTGCTAATAGAAGGCATGACTGATGACTCACACCACATCCATAACAAATACATGTTTAACAGGCAGTTGAATGAAGTCCACAGCTTGAGGCAATTAAAGAAATTGCCTGTCACACAAGTTCAACAAGACTAATAGCTAGAAAAAGACAAGGAAGAAACTCATCAAAGTCAAAGATCTATTATATGGTAGATGCTAATGCCATTTATTTTATTTACATTAGTCAACAATGAACAAATGTTTCTGTCCAAAAAGATAAGACCCAATTTCAGCAGCATCCCAGGACATTTAAAACTATTATAAAGACAAAAAAAAAGTATCCGAGACAGCTATAATTCAGTTGGGCACAAATCAGCAGCTTTTGAAGAACAAATGAACTAAGGGAACCACAAAAGCCAAAAAGATCAAACTCACATATTTTAAGCCTTTCTTTTTCTACAAGTTGCTGGCCTCTATCTAGCTTTTTTTTCCAATTAAACATACTTGGCCGGAAATGAAGGACCAACCATGTGTATAATTAGGAAAAACATTACAATCATAGAAGCATGTTATAGTTTAATTGGCCACACAATGGAGAATGAACTTAAAAACAAATACGGCATCACCAGAAGGTAGAGACAATGAAATAGAACATCTAAAAGAGAAACATAATGGGAGAGATTAGAGGTGAGAAGACAAAAGGCATCAACAACAAAATCAGTATGTAACCTGAGCTCAGAAGAAACCTACACATGCAACAGCCAAGGCTGATGCAGAAAACACTAAACTTAACAGCTTTCATGCATGCAATTACAATGTTGCCTGCATTGAAGGAACGATAAGAACAATAAAGTAGAGAGAAAAGGACATCAATATAAAGCTTCAATTTGCTTTGACAATAAATGACAATGACATTGCAACATCTATCCTGCCAGTGTCAAAAGCTGCATAGTAATGAGAACCTCCACGTTAACTTGTTGATGATGACAATGAAACAAAATAAAGCATACAGCCCAAGATGATTTCTTTTTACAAATCAATGTCGATTAAGAGAGTATTATAGATCAAACACTAGTTTGAACTGCTGAGAATACGACTGTTGGGGGCTTGTCCAGACAAGAATAAAATATGAGAAAAAACAAAAATGAAAAATAGAATCACCAATCAACCCTAACCAATAGTGGAGCAAATTTCACAGGCGAGAATGAAATACAAAGAACATCACAAAGCTTAAGGTGGGTAAAATGGTGGAGAAGCTGCAGATTTCCCCTTTATTAGTCATAGATACTTTAAGCTTTCTTCAACTCAGAATACAGATGTGTGACAAAAAGGGGAAGTAACAAAAATATAGTAGAAATGTATAGCACACAACAGTTTTTTGTTGGGAGATTTCACAAGCCCGACTCGAATGGCATTTCTTGCATTGTTGAAATATAGTAGCTGCTCTACCTTGTTGGGCAAAGTGAGGATTCTTGGTATAAAATGAGAATTGAGAAGGAAAGAGAAAGAGAAAGAGAAAGAGAAAGAAATCAATAGAGAAGATGAAAACAATAGAACCATAACAGTTAGAAGGGATACATAGATTACAAGAACAATCTACTGAGAGCCTGGTATTCATTATCAGTAGATGAATAAGAGAACCCGACGGCATTGTCGGTCACCACCGAGAGCCCTGAAATCTGCCACCGGGTACATCATCCCGGAAGAGAATTCAATTTATTGGGTTACCATAGGCCGTACCTCCAAGCAATCCACCGCCGGAGGCGGCATAGACATCAGACGGGTCGAGCATATTAGGAGACGACGAATTACCGTTCCTCCCACCCCCTAAATGCAATTCTGAGATATTCGGAAACCCATCTCTCCCATCAACACCTTGATCGTATAAGAAACCCTTGAATACATGCCCACCAATCTTTACGATCGCCTGGTAAGCATACTCGTCTTCTCCGTCCTCGACGGCAGTCACGCGAACACACTTGAAGACTGCCGGTGCACGGATTTGCCCTGGCAATGTTTCCCGAAAGCTTGCATCTATAATTCGATAAAACCCAAGTTAAATTCATCCCGATTTACTCTAACAGAACGTTGAAAAGCAATTATAAGAAATATGTAGGTGGAGAGAGAGAGTCTCAAATTTCAGACCTTGATGACTAGAGCTGGTATCAAAGCTTCTGGGAGGAGTTGTATTTGATGTTGAAGTATGAGAAGCCGTCGTAGTTTGCGAAGAGATGAGCCTAGGCTTCTTAACAGCAGAAGTAGAGACAGAAGATCCAGCTGCAGCGGCAGCCGCAGTGGCCGAGAGCTGACGTTCACGTCGTCGAGCGGCGGGGACCCATGTGCTCTTAACATGAGTAGAGCAATCAAAGCCACGACTTTTGCAACAAGTCCTGCACCGGCGATGGCTGCAATCTTTCTTGGCCTGGTTTCCACAGTCTTGGCACGTCGTCGCCGTGGAAGTCGTTGTAGTCCCACCAAGCCCACCGCTGCCAGCGGCGCCACAACCACCGCTGTTGCTACTGTTAAGCAAATTCTCAGAATTGTTGTGATCAATCAGCATGGGTTTCTTGAGATAATTCCCGTGGTGAGGTTGCTGGTTCTGCCACAAGTTAATTCCACAACCTCTATTACGATTGTTCATATTATCTCCATCGTCGATTCCAACATTAGCTGGGGCGAGACAAGGAGCTGCAGTAAGGAGAGGAATAACGCCGACACCGACGCCCACTCCAAGAGCCGTAGCGGCATTCGAATTGTTAATTTGGTGGTGGTGGTCGGAGAGGATAGGCTCGTGTTGTTGGTTGTGATGGAAAGACGAAGCCGGAGCAACAACAAGAACGTCACGCAGACCCACCATACCCATCTCCGGCGGGAGCCCATAACTAATCTGCCGAGTCGAAGACGACCACCCGGCACCAGGTCCACCACCACCACCACCAGTTGCAGTGGCGCTTCCGTGTCCTCCTCCGGCCGCCCCGGCATTGAAACCAAGGGAAAGGTCGTCGGCGCGACCGGTGGTAGAGGACGAAGCCACCCAGTCTGCAAAAGCTCCAGAATCGGAAGGTAACCTCCTTGTAGTAGCCACAACTGCTGCTTCTGCTAATAAATCCAATGTTCCTATTTATCTAAAACCGAAAAAAAAATCAAAATTCAAAAATTAAAAAAAAAAAAAGTAAAAGAAAGTCCAATCTTAAAAATCTATCAATCTATCCTACTGCGTTTAGTGGGGACTCTGAAATTCTTCTGAGATAGAGTGAGAGAAGAGAGAGAGTAAGTGAGATCTTGTGATTTTTCTTTTTGGTTTTCCTTCTCTTACTACAACAGCTTCTGCCGCTGCTGCTACTACTGTCACTGACGATTCTGCTAAAAAGTATTCATAGAAAGAAAGAAAGACAGACAGAGAGAGAGTGTGTGTGAGATAGACCACTGCGCTTCGGCTCCACAGAGACCCAGAAGAGAGAGAGATAGAGAAAGAGAAAGAGCAGAAGCAGCAGAGATCAAAAAAATGCAAATAACGACCCTATCTTCTTCTGTTGTTTTTATTTTCTCTTTGCTACCGACCTCCTCTCTTCCTTCCATATTTCTTCTCTCATCTTCTCTTCTTCCTTCTTTCTTCTGGGCTTCTCTCTCTCTCTCACTTTGTGTGCTACTCGTGTTCGGTCTCCTGAAAAGCTAAACTGCTTGGCTTCCGCTAATAGTCTCTCTAGACGAGGCTTTTTGTTTTTGGGCTTTTGTTATTTTGTGTGTCTCTCTCTCTCTCTCTCCTCAATTTATCGTTTCGTATCGGATTCCGGGTTGTTGAATTGTCCTTCCAGAGACTGCTAAAGTAATGAATGAATCCGTTTCGTTTCGGTAGGGGGGCAGATTTGTCGGGTTCCAGTAGTCAGAACAGTTGTGTATCGGTTTACGAGTACGCCGTACATTACTATACGTCTCTTTTTCTTTTCTTCGTTTTTATCTTTTTATTTTTATTTTCTCCTTAAAAATTCAAAATATCGCAGTATTTTAAAATCACGTAAATGAAATGAAGTGGGAGAGAACGGGGGAGTTGCACGATTGGTTTGAACTTTGAACACAAATCTCTCTTTCTCTGTTGCGCACTTCAGCTTCAGCTTCAGTTTTCACAGCTAATAAGTCTATGTGAAAGTTGCTTTTCAAAAGCTCTCTCTCCCTCTCGTGATGGATGGATGGAAACCCTTTTTGATTTGGAGTTTGGACTTTAATTAATACCTTAGTGAATGCAAAACCCAAGTGGTGGTGGGCCTGGGGAAGACTTGTGGATGTAGCTCCCCGTGGCCCAAGTATCACTCTTATGACCCAATTAAATATTGGGAGATAAATGAACCTTGAGACAGAGAAAAAAAGAGAGAGAGAGAGAGAAAGAGAGAGAAAATAATTAAAAAATGGTATAAATATAAAAGTATTTATATATAGAAAGTGAAAGTGAGACGTAAGATACAATGAGCCCCTAGCCCTTTGATGAACCCTAGGGTTTTTGCTCTTGGATCCTAAGTTCTTGATGTGAATCCATTTGAAACCCACAATCCAATGTAAACATATGAGTTCACTGTTGTCCTGGGGACCAGCTTACCATTACCTCAGACAAATGTGCTTAGATATAGCCAATCCTGTACTCTAATACATTATTTTATTTTCTTTTTATTGTGTAAGATTGATGGGTCCTTCTAAGACAAACTTAGTTGGGTCTCATGATCATAATATTTAGTTTACTTAAGTCAACCTCCCCCACTCCCAGAATAGATGAGTTCATTCCCTACCAAAATTTAAAAAAATGGATGCATACAATGGGCAAATGTTTTTCATTTTTTTCTTCTTTTTTATTCCCAATAGCTTCCCTCTATAATTTTTTAGGTGTATTAGGTACATTCTTAGTAGATCATATATGAAAAATACAAAACATGTTTGGACATAACTCAATTTTTAATTGGGAAAAACTTGGTCCATTTTTTTTTTGCCAACAAAAATATAATTAGTATTACCAAACATTTTGATGGGTGTGTTCATACATACATACATATGTGGGGATATTAATGAACTCAACCAATTCAAGCCATGTGCCTGTGCCCATTTAGGCCCAAACCCATTACTCTGAAATGTTATTGTTCTTTCTTATATGCAAAAACCCAAAAAATCAAATTAATACATAGTCTAGGACTCAGACTCAACTCTGGGGATAGATATCTCTTTCATGAAATCAAAAGAACATTAGGCTTGGGAGGAGGGTACACAAGAATTGGCAATCTTAGTTGAATATTAAGCTCAATACTTTTAGAGCTTAAACTATAATCATATGTTGGATCAGACCAACTTGCCTAATTATAATAAATATTGGTCTTTGAGATATATAGAAACCCTATTTTTAAAATCAATAAAGCCTATAAGTCAAGCAGAGTTGGCCTAGGTTCTGCTGAAGCTCATTTAGCTAAATAGACTTAAATTTGAGACCCATGATCATGACTAGTTAGCTACAAACCCCCCTTTTAAGCTAGAGGGTGTATTCTGTAGTGTGGATGAGAAATTGGTGGGTGTGGACTGGTCCACACCACACTTTGTGGTAAAGACCAATCCACACCACACCATAATCCACAACTGTTCTGAACTGTGGATAGATTGTGTGGACCAAACCAATCCACACCCACGGTGGTGTTGTATAGGTGTAGTGTGGTTTGGTCCACACCACACTTTTTGATTCTATGTATTTCATATATATTTTATTGGAGATCTATACAGTTTATCATAAATGTCTAATTTTTTCATTTTATATGGTGAATAAATTGAAAAAAATGCATCAATATGTAGACAACAATTGCATTGTTAAATAATTAAAAAAATAAAAAAATATTATTTTATTGATAAATATTACAAATTTAATATTTAAATAATAAAAAAGAATTGAGAATGAGAACCGTCAGACTTATGCTAGAATTAACATTAAAAATTATTATTTTATTGATAATATATTAAAAATTATTAAAAGATTAAATAAAATGAGAGTAATTGGACCAATATAACGCAAGTGCATTACACTAAAACCTTCCCACAAACTGTCCACACCATAGTGTGGACCAGCCACAAGAAAATACTATGAACGATAAATTGGGGTGTGGCCCATCAGGGACCGTCTACACATAGCAAAATGCCATATCTTACCATGGATAGGACCAAAACGATCCCGTCCACAATATATACATGCTACCGAATACCACCTAAATTGAATTAACAAACTGTGAACCATCTAATTAGGAAAAAGTGGCAATTAAAATATATTATATGGAAGAAACTTGAGACAATATATCAATAAGGCTGTCAGGTTTGCTTGTAAAATTTCTGAAAGAATGGGTGCCATATTTGAACACTATTAATGTATACACTTAAAAGCATTTCCTTCCCAACAACAACAATAATAAAGCCATTACCCAATGTTTGGTTCTAGCTATCTAGGGTCTTTAGAGGGATAAGTTGGGTACAGTCCTAATATTTGACAATTTTCTGTACAAAATGAATACCTTAATTCCATGAAGTCTCAAGCTTGAACCCATGTTCTCACACTTGTCAGTCCGAAATTTTACACCAAATAATAATAATAATAATAACAAAAATAGTAAATAAGTAAATAAAATTATGAAGTTATTGGATCTGAATGCTCACATCTAACAAGAAAATTAATGAAGCAACAACCACCACCACCACCAAAATAGCAACAAAAATAGCTTAATACTTCTAAGAAACTGCTACTATATTGGAAATTGGAATGAAGTTGGAGGTAACTTTAGCATGAGTATACAAAAGCTAGCTCACATAAAGCCAACAGGTAGCATTCAAAGCGAGCAGAGTATTAATGTTTATTAGTAATACACTAATACTGTCAGTGGAATTTCTGATATAAAATAAAAGAATGCATTAATAGCAACATCAATAACAGTGTAGTTATCATAAGCTACCTCCCAAAGGTGCATGGACTTTTCTCTACTTACAAAGCTTCCCAACTATGGAAACAATCATCTCTCTCTCTTATGACATCTACTTTGAACTTTATTTGTGCACGTGACAACTTAGTTGGCAGTTTTACATAGGCTTTCTCAATCTCCATCACTCTCTTTCCGAATCAAATAACTCTTTGCCACGTGGCAAAAGTATCACTTTTTCCATCAAGTTTTATATTAGAGAAATCATTAAGAACTGTATGCAAGGGAAAATATAACACATGGTGTGTCACGAGGCAATTTCTACCATTTCACCCATTCACATGGATGAGGGAAAAGGAAAGGAAGGGAAAAACTAAAGCAATAATTGAGAGTCCTTCCACTACATGAGAATTTTCTACAAGCTATGCCTCAACAAATGAAAAAAAAAAAAGAAAAGATAAGGAAGGATTCACTTGCTTTTTCTTAAAAATTGTAGTAAATAAATGCTTTAAGAAAAATAGTAGAATGAATTTTTATTTTGACTGTTTATTTTTAACCCTTATTTTTCTAAAAAAAATGATTAAATCTTAGAAACCAATAATTGAAAGTCCTTTCATACTTTCACTATATGAGAATTTTCTACAAGATAAGCCCCCACAAAAAAAGAAAAAAGAAAAAAAAAAAGGAAAAGAGAAGGCAGGATTCATTTGTTCTTTTTTTTCCTTACAAAATTATAGAAAATAAATGGCTATAAGAACATAGTAGAATGATATTTTATTTAGGCTAGCTGGTTTGTTTTCAACCCTTATTTTCTAACAAATGATAAAGTGATGGGTTGATTCTGAGGTCCAAGTGCTAACCCATTAACTCAGAGGGAAAAGCGGTTCGGCCATTGAACCAGGGTTTAAAACATTGCTTGGGTTTAATCATAAGTACACGATTTAAAGTTTGAATCCCTACACCCAAAGGATCGAATCAATCCAAAAGTATCTTTTACTATGCATGAAAGTAGTGATTTGTACCAATTATACTCCACCCCTCCATTGGGAAAACAATAATATTCAACATGAGAATGAAGTGGGACCCACCACATTTCCATTAATACATAGGTCCAGTCCTTGACTTTGAGGAAGGGAAATAGGCTAATAAAGGGGGAATAGAAAACAGAAGTGTCTTTAAATGATGGGGTTCACCCAGGATCCCAATGGCTTTGCGGAGGCACCACCCTTCAAGCCCAATAGGGAAAGAGTAAAGAGGCAGGGCAGTCACCAAACTGTACAAGTGGTGATCACCCCTTAACAAGGGCAAGTTCTAGGAATAGGTTGAGTTAAACCTTTTGACCATGGAGTTCCAACTTCGAAGCCTGCATTTTTCATAGACACAGAGAAGCTCTTTTCAACATCAAAAGGAATAATTGCAGTCACTAGCATCTTCATTCCTCTAAAGATCAACAGCCATTGTCCTTCTCCTTCATCAAAAACTGTTAGATTGGGACCTCGGCTGACAGGGATATATTGAAGCTATGCTGCTCTATGATCTCATAAACCCACTTGAACTCTGAAGTGTGACTTCATAGGGCTAGCTGTTTTATGATC